AAGAAGAATCATTAAATCAAAATACAAACCAAAACAAATATCACCACAATAAAAACCAAATGCGAAAATTAAATGCGGAAGCAATAATAAGAAAAGAATACACCATATTTATAGTGGTTCAGTTAAACCTTGACCTACGTTCACTTCTTGGAGGCACCCTCCAAGTATTGTACTAAACTAAGTGTCTCTCCTTTAGCCCCCACAGCTAGGCGGAGAAGCCCTTATAAAATTACTTCCACCTTCCCCGATGCGGCGGAATCGCCGGGTCCTTTGACACCAAAGAGATCTTCTTCTTTGGTGAACTTCCCTCGAGACAAGCCTTGAATTTGACGGTATTAAGGTGTAAGCCTGCCGGAGCAACCGTGTGGAACCCCCTCCACACTCCCTTGAGTCCCCCCTCACAGGATCTTCTCCCTCTCTCAGACTTCACCTGTTCCTCACTCCCTTTCAAGCTTTCTCTTCAAGTTTCCCCCGAAAGAACGAAGCTATAATGGCTGTCAAAGACACTTACAAAGTGTCATGTCATAGCTTAAATAGAAGATCTCAAAACGAGCTTATTAATACAAGTTGCGGACATTATCATCCTGTACGATTAGTTCAAATTCAGCTCATCAGCCCGAGACAATTTGGGACGATCAGAAGAAAATTGGTTACATCATCCTGGCCGATCTCACGATCATCCCAGACGATTAGTTTAAAACTGATTTCAATCATCCTGATCATCACCCTGAATAGATTCTGGCTGATGTAAATCGTCTAGGAAATCGTCCTGACCGATCCTATGATCATCCTGGACGATGTGTTCCTATCAATCAGCCATTAATACTTTCCAAAGATACCAGATCAATTTAGGAATAATTGAGTTAGACAGTCCTGGACGATGTCTATATTGTCCTGACCGATTTCCTAAAATAATGAATATCTAATCTGATCATGGCGGCTGATTCTTTCTGAATTGAGTTTATCGTCCTGGCCAATACAAGTATCGTCCAAGTCGATCAGCTCATGATGGTTGCCTTAATGAGGATGTCCTAATTGGGATTTCTTATTTGGACCAATCGTCAAGGCTGATATAAATATCATCCCGGACGATGTTACCAAAAATAAAAATCTTTAGGAAAAAAAAAATCTTCCAAGCTATAAAACATCAGGAGCCACACTAAATACAATAGACTCAAGAAAGAAAAAAATGTACAAACTGACTCAGACCTAGTCCACCCAATCTTGAGCTGGTTCCAAATTACACTCTGATCGTGTGGACCTGAAATATTAGTAAATAAGGCCGTCGTAGAGAAATAGAAGTGTTTGCTATCATCAAAATCATAAATCATGAAAGCATATCTGTAACATGGAGTCTTGTGATTCCCTTGAACTTATAATAATTATCAAAAGAATTCAAATAAAAATCAAATCCATTATCACTGCACGATTTCTTAACCATTGTACCTATTTCATTTTCAGTAATTGACTTCCATTGAATGAAAGTCTCAAGTGCTTGATTCTTTGTATTCAAACAATAAACCCAAACTTTTCATGAGTAAAAATCAATTATAGCCATGAATTACCTTGCTCCTCATATGGTTGTTGTCTTTAATGGGACCAATAGATCATTATGTATCTAGTCCAAATTCCCTTTATTATCATGCTTTAGTGTTACGAATTTTACCATGCTTCACTTTTCAAACACAACTATCACAAAATTCTAGCTTGCCTACCTCATCACCTCATAGTAAACTTTGTTTTCTTAGCTCATTTTAACCACATTTACTGAGGTGGCCTAACCTCAAATGCTAAACTTTAGTCATATTGGTGTTATCGACTGTAGTACATGCTGAAGGATTATTACCTATTGACTACATTCTTCTGATATAGTCGTCTGAATATACATTCTTGAAACCACCATTGCTTGACCAGTTCTTTAACCTTATTTTACCTATATTGTCCTTATGACCTCTGTCCCCCACCCAACACACAACTATGATCCTTCTAACCTCCTCTCCTTCTTACGGTCCTCAAAGTACTATTGCTCGACTATGATCCTAAGATCATTGTCGTCTGACTATGATCCACTAACCACAGTCATCCGATAATAGTCTGTTTGACCTTTGTCACCCATCAACTATAGTCATTCTACCATCATCATCTTACTATTGTCCTTTCCACCTTCATGACCTACTGGCTGACCTATAACCCGTAACCAGTGTTGCCTGGCTACTCTGATGCCTACTATCTTCATTACCTAGCATTGCCAATAATGCTAACACAAACTATCACTTAAAGATTAGTGCACGCCATCAAAATTCAACTTTAGTACTTAGATTTATGCTAGATTCCTTCTAAAAGGCTTTCCCAACTTTAATAATATAATATGTACTTCCTCAATCCCTTCCTCTGAGGAAGAACTTCACTTTTAGCTAAATCTTATTATTAGTGGTATCATTTTTACTGGGCCACCCCCCACGATTATATTGATTTTTAGGGCTTTCCACATAAAATAATCGTGTCTCTTACAATTATCGCACCTCCACTCTAATTTTTATGTATGTAGGATCTTCATGCAAAGCTATTACGACGTTAAACTCATTCTCTCTATTGTCATGAATGTTCTAACACAACAATTTTTATGTATGCAAAATAATAGAAAACAAGGATCTTGGTTATTTATTTTCATGCCAATTTTCAGTATTAAAAATATTTAACATTATTTATATTTTTCATAAATATATTTTATTAAAAATAATTGAATCTTATTATTCTTTCTCTTTCTAACAAAGAAAAATCAATGGGACCTATTTAAACTCACTAGTTATCATTCGTTATATTTGCTACATGGTTCGTTCAAAATTAAAAAATAAAAAAAACAAAAAAAAAAACGAAATTATTAATTTTAAGAAAATTTAATTTGGAAATAACCTGCCTGCTCTTTAGTGATTTAGGCTTTCAGTAGACCCCACTAGAAGGATTAAAAAATTGGCACACGGACTACGTTATCAAACGCGAGTTGCATGGATCACGTGCGGTGGTTAGCTTTAACGGTCAACACAGAATTAAAGTTGACTAATTAAGGTCTAAATTTAGGCACACGAAAAATAAGAGTTATTAAAAAAGAGTATTTTGCTTCTTTTAAATAAAAATTCAAATATTTTATAATTAATCATTCATTATTAAAAAAAAATTAATATAAAGAATATATTTATACTATTTATATTTTTTTATAAGCAAAGAGCTTAAAAATAGGTTGAAAACCATTAAAATAATCTATTAAAATGCTGTTTAATTTCTTGAAAATAAATGTAAGAATATATATATATATATTATTATATATATTTATATATATATATTATATATATATATATATATATATATATTATATATAATATAATAAATATATATATAATATATATATATAGCATTAAATTTCAATGAACTCTTACTTTACTCTAGTTTATTTTTTATGTATTATAAACTTATTCAATTTTGGCCAATTATTTTGTCGTATGCTATCATTACTGACCTCTACTATCTATACCACTAATCTTCTGCTACCATTGCAATGGGTCACCACCATCTCCACAGCCAGAACAACCGCTGCCCGCAACAACCGACCGTCACTGTTGCCACCACTGACCATTGCCAACCACCACCAAGCTATCACCAATTATTGTCGTCGACTACCACCATCTTTTAATTTTACCTTACATTCATGTTACTTCAAAGCAAATAAATAATAATAATCATGCAGTTTTTGCTTCCAACAACTTCAAATATTCATGAAAGACAACATTCTTCTTACACTCTACTCTTTTTATTATGTATTTCTATTTCAGCGAACTAAATAGCCCTAAAATAAATTAAAATTTTTGAACTTGATGCAGTCATCAAATTAACTCTATAATATATAGTCTGAGTAGATAATAAACATATTATATGGACAACTAATAATATATATATATATATTATATATATATATTATTATCTTATTTATTTATTTTGTTGTAAAATGGTCATTCTACTCTTACTTTGATGTGCATATCCCTTGGTAAGTAATAAATGCCTTTACAAGGAGGATTAGTTTTATATTTTTCGGTTTTTCACAAGATAATTTGGAATATTAAAATCTAATTGGACATATGAACTTGTAACTTTTTTAATATTGTAATTACATTTTACTAAATTCAAAGGAAATTGGCATCATAGTTTCAGCATATATTTTGATCTGGTAGGCATGATTGTGATCAGATGTTATGAACAGGTCTATAATATCAAAGGGCGTACAATAGCTTATAACTTGTAATAATAAGAGTGTTCAATATCAGGATATTGGCCAATGTGATTAATAGATAATTAAATTCACTTAATAAATATGTATATATGCATTTCCTATTTGCAATTTCTGCTGAACTCTATGGAAAAAATGTGAACAAATATTCAATCACAGCTTTTTGTGTATATTTCATTTCTCACTGTAAATAAAACTCTAATTTCTCACTAACAAAATTGAGAAAAATCATATCCAACGGTAAAAAATTTAAATATTTGAAAGCACTGTGCTCATAAGGGTTTTTGCTACTTAAAATTTTAATTCTTTACAGTACGCAGTGATGATGGGATAGGAAAAGTACTTATGCCTATTATAACATTTCGGTTCTTCCTACTTATATTTTATATGTAAAACACTGATGACATATATATTAACTTAAAAAAGGAAGAAATCATCACATTATGAACCTCAATTAATAAAAAATGAAACTTCGAGTGAAATTAATTTATTTATTTGCTGTTTCCTTACAAATTTCCATTTTAAAAATGCTTCCTCAAACAAAAAAAGAAAGCAAAAAAAGAGTGTACGTATTAATGGTATAGTTAGCTCGCTCTCTGCACGTTCGTCAATGACCCTTAATCCAAAAAAATCTTTTAAAATACAAGGATTATAGGGTCATTGTTACTAATGATTAACCAATCAATAATCAAATCTATATATATACCAGATATATGTATATCTAAGCCTTCGCTCTAGGCGACTGCACCAATTCTCCCCTATGTCTTCCTCCATCTTGCCATGGCGCCGCCCACGAATCATCAAATCTCTGAGAGATGAAAAAATCTCTGATCTTGCTAAGAATATCAACTCCTTCATTCTTCTTCACATTCATTTTGTTAGCACACTTGAGCCATCCAATATACTCGTCGAGATCATGCACGCATGCAGGGTTCTTCATCTTAAAGAAATCCAACGCTAATTCGACTCCCACGTGCGCGTAGCAGGAGCCGCTGCTTATCCATGGCAGCTCCAGTTTTTCATTAAAGAATACCCCCGGCATTTTCGTCACCGGGTCGTTCACGTTCGCCACCCTCAACACCTTCACACCGAGCTCTTCACAGCGAGCCTTAAAGCCTGAGTTTCCAACCCGCGGGCCGCCGTATGAGTAAACCGTGATAGGTATCTCACTACCCGACGCGGTCCGGTTCAGGCCCAACTCAGCAATGTCATATCCGAGCAGCAGCGCGAGCGAGCTGCCCATGCTGTGACCTGCCAATGTAATGCCGAACTCCTCTTCATTTTTGTATTTTGATACAATCCTCGAGATCTCGGAGAGGAGCTGCTCGCGGCAGCTCCCGCTTGTGAAGCGACGGGTGGTATCGTCTGATGTGTAGAGGCTGAGAAAGCCTGACTCGACCTTGACATCGGGCCGCGGATTGTGCGGGTCGAGTCGGGCCGGAGTCAGCGAGCTCATCAAATTTGCGATCCATTCCGTGTTGGTTACAGTTCCGCGGAAGGAAACGAGGATGTCGCGTCGTCCGAGACGGGAGGTTTGTTCATCTGTGGAGACTGCGACGTAGCCGATCCAGCGGCTGCAGCGAGTGCTGGGCTGGGTGGGAATGGTAATGTCCGGAGTAGCGTAGATGTATTTGGTTATTTCGTAGCCTGCGGAGGCCATGCCGACTTCACGGAGCATTTTGGATTTTCCGTGCTTGCAGTTTAGGTAGCGTTTGGAGGAGGGGTCGAGGTCAAAGGCTTTGTAGCAGGCCATGACGAGCTCGGCGTAGCGTATGATTTCTTGGCGGAGGAGAGGGTGGAGGGGTTGAATGAGCTGATCCCAGTTGTCACCTCCCTGGATGTCGCGCCAAGTTGGGAGTGAGGCATGCGGGTTCTGTTCTGCCCGGCGAGCAGATTTGAGGGAGATGGTCGTCGGGGCTGTTGTGATGGAGGCGGAGAGGGATTGATGGGAGACGGCGGCGGAAGTGACAATAAGCGGGCGGTGGGGACGGCGGCTGGTAGAGAGAAGAGAGGCGTTTGGGAATACAATGCGAGCGGCCATGCTATGTTAGTTTGGTTGTTTGTTTATTCTATGCTGTTTTAGTTGCAGTTGAATGGGAGCAGAGAAGGAGAAGAGGAGAAGAGAGGAGCAGCGGAGGCGGAGTTGTTGAGGAACGATAGAAGAGTGAGAAAGGATGGCTTACTTATAAGTTATGGTCGTACGCGCCTACGCGGATTAGTGGACCGGACCTGATTTTGATGTGGGGAGTGGAGGTGGACTGGGGGCTATGGTGTTGATTTTTGGACAGCATGTTAAGTGAGGATTTTGACTGGTTTATTTTTTTCCGTAAATGTGGAGAGTGGGGGCTGTTTCGTCTCCTTTTCTTTGGCCTTTTGGGTGCTAACTGCTTTTCTATTTTTGGAACTATGCGGTCGGTGTGTTGTCGCGCCTATATGGACGGTGCGGTATGGGAAAGCCACCTTGTTGAGCTGAAAAAATTGTTTTTGAAGATTATTTTATATATTTATTCTTTTTATTTTGAGTCAATCAAGGAAATTAAACGTTAAATTATATAACTCATCTTATTATATTAATTAAAAGCTTTCATTATTAATCCTAAATCTTTATATTCAAGTCTTGATTATGTGATATATATTCGAATTTGTTTTAATTGACTTTAATGTCTCACTCCATTTAAAATAAATAAATAAATAACTTCAAATTCAAAATCTTTTATTTAATTGTTAGAGCTTTCAACCAATCAAATCTCTCAACTAATAAATCAAGATGAATAGATATTGAGATCTTATTATTTTGTTTTTAATATAATAAATATTTTTGAAAAATACTAGTTTTTTTAAATAATAACTGAAAAACAATAATTTACTATTTGAAAGGATACCTGAATTTACTTTTTTGTGTTATAAACAGTTATAACGTTTTTTCTATAATTTTTTATAATCATTTTTCGTAATATTCTGAAATGTCGAGTTTTTCAAGTAATATATATATATAGAAAACTAAATCATTTAAGTTTAAAAAACCGAGGCTAAATGATCTAAAATAAGCACGCAGAAAAAGTCACTGAAAAGTAGCAAATATATATACGAATTACATTTTGAAGGGATTTTGATGCCTTCAATTGATGCCATAGTAATTAGAGTTTGTTATAGGTTAAAAATTTTACAGCAGTAGAGTTTGTTTTATAACTTAAATTTTAATAATAATCCAATATGTACAGAAAACGATTTGGGAGACGAGAAATTTTTTTAGAGAAAAATCTGGAAAGAGAAAAAATGACGAAATACATCAAGAAATATAAACATTAATCTTTTCCTCATAATAAAAAGGATGGCATTATTTGAGAACAAGTATTTGATTTCTCTTATAGAGATTACAAAAATTTGGTGTCGATAAATGAACTATTAAAACTGAATAACAAGGTTAAATGTTGATACGAATCTAAATATGATGACAATAAATGTTAGTGATAGTTGTTAGCAATGATAGTAAAAAAATACAAGAGCTTTCTTTAGTGTTTTCAGCTCTTGAACCTCTCCCTTCATAGAGAATAGAGCCTTATTTATAAGCCTTTTGATATGAGAATTTTGGTAAATTTGATCAGAATCTAAAGCACTCCATCATAGAATCCATATTGATACTCTTGACTGAAGATAATTTATCAAATATTTGAATACCTTAATGTTGTTTTGAGGGATCTTGGGTTGTTATATTCGTCGTGTCAAGCTACTCAACTTGATTATTAGCATGTTATAATTGGATATCATTTGATCAACCAATTTATGACTAGAAGTTTTATAATATAATTATGGTGTTTGATTTTAGCTCATTCAAAGTTAAATCAAATCATTAGTAGCGCTGATATATTCATCTCCTAAAGATGTTTAGTTTGACTATAAGTTTGCTGCATTCAAATTTCAGATGATCCTGAATTTAATTTTGAAAGTTTCCAATTCTAATATTGCCCAATGATTCATGCCAATTAGATGAAATTTCTAGAAATGTATCAAATGTTAATGTTGACTAATTTCAGTTCAAATGCAGTTGTGCGTGTGCACGTGTATACACACACCCACTTGACGATCACTATAGTGAAAATGCCATGGTACCAGAGGGTTGAATTGATATTTTAAAAGCTTATCTTTTGCTTAAAAATTAAATTTGAGAAATACGCAAACGCTTTAAGAAAACTTTTTAAACAAAAACAAGAACCAAATTTTTTTATTTCTTCAAAGTCTTAAAAAATATATATTTTTTATTTTTCCACCAAGATTTCAATCAGAAAATTCACATTCACAACTTTCCCAAGGATCAACCAAATAACCAATTTGCATGATATTAAATGCAAGAAAGTAAGAATATGCGAAACAGATTTATAATGGTTTAGTCTAGTCGACTTATGTCCACTCACCAAAGGTCATTCTCCACAACCACAACATGTATGACCCATGGTGTAGACTAATTAGAATAACCTTATGAATCCCCTCACACTTGTTTCCACCCTCAAAGGAAAACTCTCTCAACCTCACCTTTTCACTTCCCATATGTAGTTTGGACTCTCACATGAGCTAGGAGACTCCTCTCTCCTTCTCTCAAGCTCTCTCCTTGGAGAACCTTATTTGCTACTCAACTTTAGACCCTCAATATGTTGAAAGAATTTAAGTGAGTTATTTAAATTAAAGTCCTATTTTTAAATTAATTACTTTGATCTTATAATAGGATATGTAAATTGTAAGGTTCGGCTAGTTTAATTTATCACTCATCATCTCGTACAATTAATAATCATATAATATGATTAGTTATATTGATCTAAGATGAACTAAATAATGTGGTGGCTGACTTACTTGCCAAAAGGGGGGTTGTACTCTTGTTAATTTTGAGGAGTATGATGAGCACAATTTTCCTACTGAAGCTCAAGGTCTTGCTAGATTGGATCGTTTGAACTTTCCTTATTTTCGTGTGCATTAGGCTTGTTTGGCTTTTTCTCGTTCATGTTGTATTTTTCTATTGTTTGGTGTGTTTCCTGTTTTGTGCTCTCTGGTGGGGGCTTTTAAAGGTTTTTTACTGCCTTTTTTATGCTGGTTTGCATTGCTGGGGGTTGTCTGTGTATTGGGATCATTTTATGCTTTATTTTCACAAAGTCAGTCTTGATAGCTGCTTTTGTTATGGTTTTTGGGCCTCTCTTAATGGTGATGATTGGTTGGTTGTGTATTTATGCTATCCCTTTAAGCAGTTAAGGATTTACTATAAGATTTGCTGCATTGTTGTGTTTGGGTTTCAGCTTAACTGGCAGCTTTTGTTTAATTTTTGCATTTCCTTCCAGGGGGCCTCCAGTTTTTTGATCTTAAAGTCTGGCCTCTGTGCATGTTTTGATAGCCGTAGGTTGATGTTGTTGGGTGAGCTTTTTCTTTATCCCTTTGTGCATTTCTGGTTTGGTATTTGGAAGAGTCGCTTCCTTGACCCTTCGATTTTCATTTTCTGGAGGTTGGTTTCTGGGTTGGCTTTTGTGTGTTTCCCTCTGCTTATTCCTTGTTGCTGAATGGCAAGAATTTTGTTCTGGATTTGTTTTCCTGTATCATGGGGGTGTTATGGAGGATTGTTGGCTGTTTGTTTTGTGGCCTACAGCAGTATATTGGTAAAGTTTATTTGCGGGTGGAGTATCACTATAACATATGTGAGGCTTCCTTTAGTAAGGCAGGTTACAATTTGTTTCATTTGTGGGATAATATTGGTTATATGATTTTCGGAGACATGAATTTATTAAAGGAGAATGTTTTTCCTTTCACTGTGCTGATCAATATGAGGCTCACTATTATCTATATGTGCCTGAAGGATATGCTGATTCTTTTTTGTAACTGTACTCCCTTCAAGCAGAAATATGGGATTTTCTTCTGTGTTATTTACGATCAACCTTATTTGCATCTTTTGAGAGTTTTTTGCAGGATTATACTTTCTGATCAAGTGAAGAAATTAAAGGATTGCAAGGTACACTATTTTGTAGCTATTTTTTTTCTTTTCTATTGTCCCCTTTATTTTTGCAGGAAGATGGTGCTGAATGGAAATTTTAGGATCTTTCATTTTTGGGTGCTGTCTACTCACAGCTCGAGTCCTTTCTTATGTTCTTTTTGTAATCTTAGAACAAGGAATCACCGGCTCTTAGGTTTTATTTCTTTTAATCTCGTAACTCTTATGAGTCGTAGCGAGCTGGAGGGTCCTTTTAAGGATCTTGTAACCGATATTTTTGATTTGAACGCGTAGGCCCCACTGCGGGTTTTAACCAAAAAAAAAATCTAAGATGAACTAAGTTTTGGACATCAAGCTTTCTATGAGATTGTCTTGTGCAATTTGGATCATGCAGTATGAACATTAATTAATATTTTAAAATAATTTGATTCCTTAATCTATGGGATAAAATTATACAATAGTCATTAATGTTCATATAGAATAAACTTCTTGGTACAATATGATATGTTTAAATTTTAAATTTTGCCTAATATTATACCATATATTCTACAATGGGGTTTTATCAAAATAACTGATTATCCTGCACAATTGAAGGTCATACAATACAAATAATGATAATTTAATTTAATTAAATTATTAAATTAACTATTTAAATTAATTTTTATATGAATAGATTATACGATAGGATTAATAGAGAAATTCATGAACTTAATTTTTTATCCCCCCTTGTGAGTGTATGCTCAGATGTCTTACCAATTTACTTCTAATATATAAAATAACTCGTATAGACTCTATAAAACATAGGCTGAATTAGACCCTAGTACTGCCCTATCTTGAGTCATGTTTCTAAAATTCTGCTTAGTATATGTTGTACCTGAAATAGTTAGTAACACATATAAAAAATATGCAATGTATTAAGCAGGAATAAGTAAATGATTATCCAATAATGTTTATAATTATCAAAATGCAATGTCGGGCTCCCATATTTAAACATACAATAATTGATATTTTTTAATTAAAAAAGAAATTATTATATATATAACCGGCGGTCAATAAACCGGCGGTCAATAAACTGC